GCTCAAGTGGTAGAGCACTAGCCTTTAGCTGAAGAGCTGAGGGACAGCGCCCAGGCCCAGAGTTCAGGCCCCACGACAGGACCCCACCCCCCGCCCCCCAAAAAAGAAAAAGTTCTTCCTGTAGGCCCCTGCAATCCTTCAGAGTATACAGCCTCTACTCAACTCCTTTCTTGAGCAGTAAAGACACTGCATACTTGTATAAGATAGCTTATTATTTAATATCGTACTAATAAATAAAACCAAGTTTAATCAATTTTTAATTAAATAATAATTTTCCTAAAAACGATCAAAATCTTTTGAGTAAGTTGTTCTGCATAATTTGAGAAAAGAGACAAAGGATCAAAGACAATTTATAAGGCTCTTTCTGGACCAGGTATCTATGCTACCAGGAAAGCAGGTGGAGACAGGAAGGTTTAGTCAGATCAAATATCAAAATTAATTGCTAATTTGAAAAATTCATGAGTAGTCTCTAAAAACATCAAGTACTTTTTTAAATTAAGAAAGAACCAATTCTGTAATAACACAGATAAACAAAAATGTTTCAGAACAAATTGTACCTATATGTTGCTTCTATTAAATCAACTTGGTCAAAAAGGCCTTACTAAAGGCACACACTTTCAATTAGATAAAACACTTTTTAAAAGAGATTTTCTTCTTTCCTTTTTCCTTTCCCCTTTCTTCCTTCCAGGACCCCCTACCCACCTCTCTCTCTCTCTCTCTCTCTCTCTCTCTCTCTCTCTCTCTCTCTCTCTCTCTCTCTTTCTCTCCCTCTCGTAGGGGTTCTAATCCAAGGCTTAATACTTGTAATAGACAAATACTCATTACTTGAGATATACCTTTAGCTTAATTTTATTTTCCATTAACACATAATTGTACATTCTTATGGAATACATTTTTTATTATGTATTTCAGTATTTGTATATGTTATATAACATATCTATCAGTTTAAATGTCAGCAGGGAGATGCAAATTAAAACCATATAATATATTACCTCATTCCAGTCAGAATGTCTATTATTAAAAAGACAAAAGATAACAAGTGTTGGGAAGGATGTGGAGAAAGGAGACTTTTATACATTGTTCTTGGGAATGTAAATTAGTATATCTATTTATGGAAAACAGTAAGAAGGATCTCAAAAGAAATTAAAATATAACTATATGATTTAGCAATTCTATAACTATAAGATCTACCATTGGAGGAAATGAAATCCATATGCTTAGGAAAGATTTTTACTCTCATGTTTTATTGCAGCATCATTCACAATAGCCAACATAAATATTTTCTATTACTTGAATTTATAATTTAAAAGAAATCATAGTCTCTGACAAGTCTGAAAGATCTACAGAAATATCAAAAGCAGGTTCCTGTTCCGTTGCAAAATTTTCTGTTACGAAAGTACTTTTAAAAATGGCTAGGAAGTTGGGTGTGGTGGTACATAGCTGTAATTCCAGCAATTGGGAGTTAGGAGGATAAAATATTTCTGGCCAGGCTAGATTATATAGTGAGACTCTCTCACAAACAAACAAACAAAACCTTCCAATCTAAAAACCAAACCAAAACAAAGGGCTTGGACTGGGGATGGAGCACAGTAGTGGCCTGCAAGTTGTATGAAGCAGGGAGTTCAGTCCCTTTTCCCATAAGAGTCTGTGTTATTTTGTTGTGCTTTGAAATGTCTTTGGAATTCGAATCTTAGAAAGAAAATTGGTCTTTTAAATCTCCACTGATAGTTTAATTATTTTGCATTTACTTATTGACAACTATCTGAAAATGATTCTTTTTTAACATTAACCTGCAAGTGAGAAAACAAACTATTTTTTGCAGGAAGCAGTTATATTACTTGATATTTAAATATCCCAAGTCTGGAAATGTAGCTCAGTAGGAAGAGTGATTGTTTAGCATTATTGAAGCCCTAAAGACACAGTGTGGGCCAAAAATACAAAGAAAAGTATTGCTTTTTAGTGAGTCAGTCCATTTGGTTATCTGATACAGGATAGAAAACACAGTATAGACAACCCAGAGTAGAGATTCCTTAAATTTAGCCTAAATTAAATTGGCCTTCTAAGTAATAATATTGGTTGAAATTCTTTTTTTTTTTTTTGTCGGTCAAGGGGCCTAAACTCTGGGCCTGAGTTCTGTCCCTCAGCATTTTAAGCTCAAGGCGAGTGCTCTATGACTTGAGTCACAGCACCACTTCCAGCTTTTTCTGTTTATGTGGTGCTGAGGAATTGAACCCAGGGCCTCATGCATGTAAGGCAAGCACTCTACCACTGAGCCACCTTCCAGCCCCTGAAATTGTTAGTCTAACAATCACTTTTTCCTTTAATGAATTTTGTTATATTTAGTTAGCAAAAATGATTATGCATTTCATATATAAACCTAATCCTTAGGCAAACCCCACCGTTCATTAGTACTTCTTTATCATCTGCAATGCCCCTCCCCGCCATAACAGCAGATAGCAGACGGTTAAAAAAAATGCTAGTGTTATCAGTCTATCCTCTTAACATCATTGTGATGATTTTGTATTACTTTTAGTGCTATATATGCTTGATTGTGTATCTGTAGTACTAAATAGAGTTGGGATCATGATACAATCTCCATATATTTTTGTATTGTACATCAGTGAAAAACTAGAAAACTATCTTCAGGTGTTTGAAGAAACAGGTCTGTGACTTACATTTTCTTGCTTTCTCTTGTCTTTCTTTTTTTTTTTTTCTTTCCTTTCCTTTCCTTTTTTGCCAGTCCTAGGGTTTGAATTCAGGGCCTGGGCACTGTTCCTGAGCTTCTTTTCTCAAAGCTAGCACTCTACCACTTGCGCCACAGCACCACTTCTGGCTTTTTCTGTTTATGTGGTACTGAGGAATCGAACGTAGGATTTCATGCATGGGAGGCAATCACTCTACTAGGAAGCCACATTCCCAGCCCATGTGATTTACATTTTTGAGACATTTGTTTTCCTCTTTCTTTCAACATGTGGTAGAATTTCTCTTTTAGGGAAGTGTTTGTGTTCAGGAGAAATGCTATGTTAAACAAAGTGTAATGGATGCAGGTTCACTGTCACTTGTTGCTTATAAAGCCACAAGAGATAGTTATTCATTATATGTCAGCTGAGTCTCTAAATAGTTGGGAATAAATTAGACTTCTTCCAGAATTAAGGTTATTTTGACACCTTTTACAAAAAAGTAGTGTGAGGGTGGTGTTGCTAGGCAGGGAAATGGAAACTTAACCCTAGGTGGGGAACCTGAGTAGCCCCAGCACTCGAGTTCTGAAGTGCTCTCTGTCTGTCTGTCTGTCTGTCTGTCTGTCTGTCTGTCTCTCTGTGTCTCTCTGTCTCTGTCTGTCTCTCTCTCTCTCTTCTCCCACTTCCTGATGACAACTTTCCAGTTGTCAGCTGTCCAGTAGTATAGTGCTGCAAAGAAAGGTAGACTCTTAATGCTATTCACTTCTGGCTAAATGGTGATTTGTATTGTTTTTCCTAATTGATGAAGGCATTGTACATTTGATAACAGGACCCAAGATGGATTGCAATCAACACAACGTGTTTTATATGCTAAAACACACGGAGGGAAGACTTAGTCAACAGTGCTAATATGCTAATTTGCCCACTGATCAGTACACAAACCCGGCTCAAACACTGAGAATAAATAAACAAGCCACAGTGAGCGTTGAGGAAAGGGGGAAAGAAAAACTATCACCTTCAGGAACAGTATTCTGCCTCTAGTGCTGGTTATTTGCGTTCTGGGGCTGCAGGTGATAAAAGCTGAAGCTGGCTCACCAAAACAAAATAAAACCTCCAAACTTAAAATACTACGGCCACATCCTCACACTACACAGAAATATCTCTAGTTCACACCGAACTGTTTTCCTTCTGTAGCTGGCACAAATAAACTGTCAAATATAATTACGAGAAGAGGGAATTAGAAAATAGGACGGGGTTAACTCAGGTTCTTTCATTTACCATGCAATTTACAGATTTTACCCATTCAAAACCCACTGAAGAGGTCTAGAAGCAATTCCTGAGGTCACTTCGCCTCACCTGGCGTCTCATTAAACCACCCACACCTGTCCTGGGCTTCGATATCAATCAGATCGCTTAAGTGCCTGCAGTTAGCAGCAACCAGTTCCCGCAAGAACAAGCGCGGTTCCAACTAGTCTTCCCCCCTAAGGCTTAAAGACGAGGGTTTCTGATAACCTCACAGATCTTCGCGGTGCCATTCGCTGAAGCAAATACCAGAGAATTAGAACACAGCAAGGGTGCGAGGCGTGGTGGTAAGCCTGCAAGACTAACTCTCGGGAGGGGGTGGGATGGAGGCAGAGAGGGATCACGAGTTTGACGCCACCCCGGGCTATTATGGCAAGACCCTAGTGTGTGTCTGTGTGTGTTTGTGTGTGTATGTGGGGGGGTAGACACTAGCCTGGGTAAAAGAGAAAATAAGTAAGAACGCTTGGCTCCGGCCCGCGCAGGCGCACTTGGACGAAGCGCGGTGCTCCAGGAGCCAAGGCGCAGTGCTAAAAGCTCCGCCCCGCTGCCACCCCCGCCTCCTTCCCGTCACCCCACCCTCTTAGCCTGGGAGTGACGGACTCCCGCCAGCCCCTCCACGTCAATCAACTCTCCTCCTTCTCGCACTCTGCACCTTGTTATTAATCTCAGTACCGATACCGCCCGGACGGCCTCTCCCCGGACCCTCTGGGGGTGTGTGAACGTGTGTGAGAGCAAGAGCGAAGGCACCGAAAGCTGGCTTCTCTGCTCGGCTTCGGCAGCACCCGGCTTAGCAACAACCCCCGCAGCGGCGGCAGCCCCAGTGCCAGGAGGCCAAGGCCAAGGCCACGCTCCCGGAGGCTCTCGGAGCACTAGCCGAGGTTCCCGGAGGCTGTGGGGGGCGCCGCTTCGTCCGGCCGCGAGGCCTCTTCTGCGCGCCCCGGGTCACCGTCTCCGTAGTCCGGCGGCGCGGCCCTCGTTCCCCTTCCCTCCCCTCCCCTCCCCGCTCCGTTCTCCTCCTCGCTTCCCTCCAGCCGCCCTCCGCGCCGTCGCCGTCTCCGTCGTTCTCTAGGCGGCCCGGCCCGGCCCGCCCGCCCCGCGTTCCCTCCGGCCGGTGCCTCTTTCCCCCCGGCGGGCTGCCTGCATGTCTTTGCTGCCCTCAGCCCCGCCGCCACCGCCGCCGCCACCTCCCCCGCCGCCGCAGCCCCAGCAGCAGCAGCAGCAGCCCCGCCGCCGCCGCCGTCGCCGCCGCCCGGACCCTGGCGCGCTGAATGCAGGTGAGGTAGGGGAGACCCGGGCCTTTGGGAGCCCCGGGGCCCGGCGCGTCCGCCCGCGAGCCCCGGCCAGGGCCCAGTGTGTATGTGTGTGTGTGTGTGTCGCGCGGCTGGCTTCCCTGCGGGGCGCGCGGGCGTGGGTGTTTGTGTTTGCGTCTGCGGCCGCGGCTCCGGAGGGGGCGCGGGGGTGCGCGCGCGCGCGCGTGTGTGTGTGTGTGAGTGTGTGTTTCCCCCGCCGCGGGGAAATGGCTGCTGTTGCTTCTTGTGGGCCAGGGGAGGAGAATGAGGTAGAGTGTCTCCGTGCCTCTGGGTTGGAGCCCGTGCTGGCAAAGGGAGCGCGGCTGTTTTTTTTTTTTTTTTCTCTTTCCGTTTTTCTTTTGGAGGGGAGAATGAAGGGAGAGGGACGGACGTGTGGGTGGGCGAGCGAGTTGGGACTTTGGCGGGCGGGAGGCGGCCCGAGGACCCACGGCGAGTGGGTGTGTGTCGGGGGGAAGGGGCGGCGGGGCCGGCCCGCGGCTCTGCGAGGGTGCCCGGGTGTTCCGTGTGTGTGTATGTGTGTGTGTGTGGGGAGAGGGGCCGCGGCTCTGGGGGTGGCTTGCGTGTGTCCGGGACCCCCCGAGTGGCGCGTCCCTCCCCCTTTGTGGCCCGGGCTCCAGAGCTTCGCAGGTGAGAACGGCTCGCGGGGAGCCGGGCCGCCGAGGGTGAGTGAGTGCGGCGGCATCCTCCGGACGCTGGCCTCCGTGGGGCTACGAAAGCTACGGGTCGGTGCCGTGCCTGCGATTCCCCGGGGGCCGCGGTTCCCGGGGCCGGGGCCGCGGCGGCGGCGGCGGCGGCAGGAAGCGCGCTCGGCCTGCTGCGCGGCCTAACCGCCTCGGCGCCCGCCGGCCCGCCCGCTGGCCTCCCCAGACGCGCCCGGGACGCCCAGCTCGCGCGGACCCGGGGCGCTGCCTCCGGCCTGGGCAGGTGAGGATCGGGGGCGGGACCCGTCGATCGCTGTCTCCCCGGCCGCCTCCGCGTCTTCCGAGGAGAAGGCGATGGCTTGCTTATTTTGGCGTTCCAACAGCTAGCCTCCTTCTCCTCCTGGCGTTGGGGACCCCAGGGAAAGTGAATCAAAGCAGTAAATCTCGGATCCGACCTGCTTGGATCCCCTTCTTCTTTCACCCTTCCCTGAAGGGAATGAGTAAATATTTTCGGGTTTGGTTGCAAGTACTTTGTCGTTGCTAAATGAACCGCCCCCCCCCCACCCCCCTTCCAACCTCCCAAGAAAAATCTCCTTGGAGGGGAGATGGGAAGAAAAGGGAAACTGGCTTCTTTGGTCGATGGTATTTGTGGGATTGGAAGGGTTTTTGCGTTTGAAATTGTTTTATCCTGCGGGAGGGCGCACGCGCGCGCGGGGGGGGGGGGGGAGGGAGGGGGAGGCGTGCATAATACGCTTGAGCGGAGGAGGTTGGTGAGGAAGAGGAAGTTACTGGAGCTGTCATCTTCCTTAACTTGGCCAGCTTATTTAGCTTAGGCTGTTGAGGAGCCTTGGGCTTGGGTCGTTTAGCTGAGCTGTGTGTACACATTGGAAGCACGTTACCACACTTGGAGGAGAGGCTACCTTATTACTTCTTGTTATCTTAATTGTCAATCACGTAGTCAAATACATCAGTCGTGTTTTCCTCACAGTCTCCATTTCCTGGATGGAGCAGCCAGTGCCATGTCTACTCAAGGTGTACTCCTGGAAAGCTGTTTTTTGAGAGCAGACTATGCAAAAAGTGGTCGTGAAGATACACATGCAACCAATAAGCATACTATGCATCTTAGAACCAAATGCAAATGGTTGCTTTACTTTACTCTTTCTATGTGGGTATTTAGTTACCTCACCTAACTAGAGCCCTTTTATGAATGAAGTGGTTGGGAATACAGGTTTGATGCTTTTAGGCCTTGGTCTGTGTAATGTAGAGTGATCTTTTCTGAACCTGGCCTTACAAAGGAAAATAGTGCGTGTTGTTCACTGTGAAGTGGGGGTAAGAGGAGGAGTGAAAAGCTGTTTTCTATTACCACTACTTGAAAAACAAGTTAACACACGTAGTTTAGTGGAAAAAGGACTTGTTTTACAGATCTCAGTTGGAACCCTAGCTATGCCAAAGTATCTAGTTTTTTTTTTTTTAATCTCTGTTTTCTTATCTGTAATAGATGATAGCTTTTCAGGAAGGCCATTGAGAATAGAAAGAGAAACACGTTTGGCTAGTAGTAAAGGCTTAGTTAATTTTAGCTCTGTCGCCTGTAACCTTGACTGTAACTATGAAAAAGCATTTATAAATTCAAATAGGTAATTATTTAGAGCAATGTTGTGTAAATGTGAGTTAAAAATCAGAATAATAGAGCTAGGGACATAGTTCAGCAGTAGAGTACTTGTCTAATAGTGCAACAATGCTGAGAGTTTGGTATCAAGCCCTGGGTGGGGGGGCGGGGAGGTTGGTGGTGGATGTAGTTTGAAGCCCTTTGGTATACATAAAGTATGTGAAAAACATCTTTTAATATATCTGAAAAGACCTTTTTTAGAAATAAAATTAATAATGGCTTTGTATATTTATAGAGAAATTTTCCATATTTTGAAATATCTGAATTTCATTATATTTCTATGAGTATTTGCTTTGTGGCCTTGGAAATTTTTTTTTTTTTTTTTTGCCAGTTATGGGGGTTGAACTCTGGGCCTGGGCACTGTCCTTCAGCTCTTCAGTTCAAGGCTAGTGCCCTACCACTTGAGCCACAGCACTACTTCTGGCTTTTTTCTGCTTATGTGGTGCTGAGGACTCGAACCCAGGGCCTCATGCATTCAAGGCAAGCACTCTACCACTGACCCAACTTCCCAGCCCCAAGGCCTTGGAAATTTTTTTGAGCCCTATAGGTGTTTCAGTATACTCCAATATTAAAAACAAAGAACCATAATGTATCAATATGTATTCACTAAGAGTGGTGTCTACAAAATGCTATATACTTGTTTTAGTTTGTTAACAGATTTTTTTAAAGCCAAGCCTCTTGGGAGCATTGAGTGGAAACAAAATTATCAACCTCCAATAATTTTCCATCTTAATTGTTTTGTGTGGAGTAGTAAATGTCCATTAAATTTTAACTAGTATAATGGGTAAAAATAGTCATATAGAATATAAGGTGAAAGACAATGGGAAGATTATTTAAAGGATTCTCTCTGCCCCTCTTGGTGATGGTATGACAAGGAATGTGGTAGGAGTTTTCATTGGTTTAGGTTTATCTGTTTACAAATGCCAGTTTTACCAATTAGCTTTATATCATTTTTCTCAGCAGCTAAGCTAACTAGACTTTACTGAAATTAAAATTTTAGCACATCCAGTATAACTTTTTATATACAACAGTTTCTATGAAGAATAGTAAGTTCTTCATTAGAACATCTCTGTGTGTAGTATTTTAAAGTGAACAGAATCATTTGCCATATGGTTGTATATAAAGGAAGAATTCTTGCCTTAACAATAATGTGTATATATATATATATATATATATACATATATATATATATATATATATAATTTTCTAATTCTAGGGCTTGAACTCAGGGCCTGCACACTATCCCTGAGTTCTACTTCCGGCTTTTTTTTTTTTTTTTTGGTCGGTCGTGGGGCTTGAACTCTGTGCTGTCCTTCAGCTTTTCAGCTCAAGGTGAGCGCTCTACCACTTGAGCTACAGCGCCACTTTCGGTTTTCTGGTGGTTTATTGGACATAGGAGTCTCATGGTCTCTTCTGCCCGGGGTGGCTTTGAACCACGATCCTCAGATCTCAGCCTCCTGAGTAGCTAGGATTACAGGCGTGAGCCACCAGCGCCCGGCTTTTTTTTTTTTTTTTTGTGGTTAGTTGGAGATAAGAATCACCTGGACTTCCTTGCTCAGGCTGACTTTGAACCATAATCTTCAGATCTCAGCCTCTTTTCTTTTTTTGGGGGGGTGTATGTCATGGGTCTTGACTCAGGGCCTGGGTACTGTTGTTGAGCTCCTTTTTGTTGTTTTTGTTTTTTTGCTCAAGGCTAGCTTCTAGCCCTTTGAGGAGCTACAGCTTCCACTTAGTTTTTCTTGTTAATTGGAGATAAGAATCTCCCAAGGACTTTTCTGACCCCACACACCCCCTTTCAAACCATGATCCTTAGATCTCAGCCTCCTGAGTAGCTAGAATTATAGGCATGAGCCACCAGCACCAGGCCTAAATATTTTAAATTAAAGAGAATTGGAATACTTAATTTCTTTATGTATAACTTTTTTGTAATCCTAATTAGGGTAATACATATGACAATTTCAGTGACTTAACAGTTTATTTTTTACTTGACAGACCAGTGCAGGTATTCCTGATTAGTAGGCTCATGGCTTTTATTCTATGTGCTAATTTAGAAACGCAAGCTCCTTACATTTTGTGACTCCAATATTTCTAGGGGCTTGGAATCTGCCTGTACATGTGGAAGCTTGCTTAAGAAACTTTAGAACTGAAGGTGACATCTTCCTAAATTTCCTTGGCAAGAATTTGTCATAGAAACTTATTTGAATACAACAAGGGTAATGGGAAATACAGTTCCCAGATAGTGGATAGGTTGGTGTTATATGATATTTCACATTGAAACTTGTGAGGAGTTTCTAGACAATTTTTCGAACAGCTACACTATTTGTACATTCCTACCAGCAGTGTAGTGTATGAGGGCACTAGTTTTTCCTCCCTCTTGTCACCATTTATTATTTTTTTTTCCTTTTGGATCTACTCTCTCCTAGTGGAAGTGAAGCAATAAACTCTTGGTTTTGAGTTGTATTTTCCTGATGACCTATGACATCAAAACGGAAGTAGAGCTGTGGTTCAAGTGGTAGAAGTACTAGCCTTGAGCAAAACAAGCTCAACCATAATGCCCAGACCCTGAGTTTAAGCCCCAGAACCATCACCCACCCCCCAAAAAAGACTTTTGATTAATTTTTTTTTTTTTGGTCGGTCGTGTGGCTTGAACTCTGGGC